TACTACTACTACTACTACTACTACTACTACTACTACTACTACTACTATACTGGTGCTGCTATGAGTCATGATTAAATGCTGGAGAGGGCTCATGTACAAACAGCTGTTTTGGTAGTGTCTTTATTGGGCGTTGTGGTTTGGACTGCCTTGCACACATTTTTTGGGGGGTCTCATTGCCGCATTGCCATTGGTTGCCTGGGAGATGGGTTTTCTCAGATTTGCAGTGGGATTGTCACCCATTTATTCAATTTATTCTACAGGAAAAACACCTCCTGCGAGATGGGATTTGAATTCACAGCTGAAGGCAATCCAAGATGGTATCCAAGGTTTTTACAGCAAAACTCCAGCACTGGTTGTCGAACGGTCTCAATCATCCCGACATTGATCGGGCCGCGCAGGCTAAAGAAGCTGGGTTGTTTTCGAGGTACACTACGCGATGCTTCCTTCGTCAAGTAAGACATGTCAAGTTGTCAAGACTCAATTTTTGCGCCTCTCGATGCTGACTCTGATGTTTGCCATCTCCACTTGAGTGTCCGCAAAGTCTAGTTTCCCGTCTTCGGTCACACCTTTGATTTGGACCCAGAATCTTGCACATGTTTTATCAATCCAGGACTATGGTCATTTGCTCTTCGTGCCTTGGACCAATTCGATTTGGACTCATTCATCAACAGATTCAACAGTCGGTCAATCAATGATCAAGCTGATCTACCTCCCCGAAAAAGCTGCTTTTGACCTTTGATGTATTGTGAACAAATTCACCATGGCAGGATACAGAAGTAAACAATCAAACCCTAACCTACACTTTGTGGAGACACAATGGAGCACAATAGATAGTCAGTCAGGGTGGGGGTGGCGGCTTCTCATTTGACAGATTGCAACGCCTTGTGTTTGAAGGAAGACGGAGAGCCTTTGACCTTTGCAGAGTTCATGGAAGGAATGATGACCCTCCGTGGCTCAAACCAGACCACCGTGAAGGATCCGATTGCGAAGCAAGCAGGTGATTGACTAGGTTTGTTGCTTTCGAGACATTTGGAGATGTCAGTGTATGTCACGAACAACATCTTGTGTGAAGGGCCACAGTATCATGACATAGGACGTACTGTTTGGCACATCTACCATCAGGTAGTCAAGGTCTCATGAGGGCCAGAGGATGTATTATAAAGTCTGTTTTGCTTCCTTATGGATTCCCTTCACGTGTATTTTTTCAGAGCCTCAGTCTTAGCCTGGTTGTGTTCTTTGTTGATGCGCTTTGTTTGGTTGAACACAGGTTCTTTTGAGGGAGTGGCCACTAGTCACTAGACTTAATGTAGATTTTCCGGCAATTGCAGGATGACCCTTGCACGATATGCCACCTGAAATTCAAGCCCTCGGATGATAGACCTTCATGAGAGCTCAAAACACTTGGCACTAGAGGGTCGGTATGGTCTAATTAGTGGCTATGACGCATCCCTCGTGCGTCTGACCCGGGTGTGGACCATTCAACACAACAGCAACACTTGGCACTGACACTATAAACATTCCATGAGTGCTTGGTCACTGATCACAATTGAAGATTTGATGTTAGCTAAGCCCGTTTCCAGGACATGGTGGATTTACGGAAGTTCACTGCAGAAGAGTTCTCCAGTCTTCATAAAGTCCTTCTGGATATTTGCACATTTCTTGCAAGTCACTTGGTGAAGAAGAGGAGCTACCAAAATCATTTAATTTATGCTCAATGTCTTGTAGTCAGATCGTCTTTACTACTGAACTTATACCCATCACACAAGAACACGCATGGCTGAAACGCAAGCAAGTAATTGCCACACTCCAGCTGGGGTTTCACAAGCCTCCTGGTACTGTCATCACCAGCTGTTCACTTATCAAACAAACAATTGTTTTTGACCCTATGTGAGTGTAGTTGTTGCTTATGTGTCCTTGGGAACAGTTGAACAGTTGAACCTGTGTCCTTCATGCGCCGTGCACTGCCCAGCAACTCACAACCAATCCAATCTAAATGTTTCCAACAGAACGATATATCCAACATGCCAACATGCTAACGTGTTTTTGGGATCATGGAATCAAAGCGCCTAGGAGGTTGGAACAAGGCAACACCTGGTTCGCTTGCGACGCATTTTACACATCCAGTTGCCTGGTTTGGATCACGGTAAAGGTGCTGAAATGCGCGAAGGATCTGAACAGGTCCGGTGGATGTTTACAGGTCCTTTGTTTCGTCACCATTCCTGAAGATTTCTGCGTTTTGAACGGGAAGTTTCGAGATGCTAAGGCCAAGGGATGCCAAGCAGCACCCTGCATCGTGTCTCCAGTAGTGTGCGCTACTCCAGGGCGTCGCGCATGACGCAGCATGCCAGCGCCAAACCTCAGTGGCGCCTGAGATTTGCAGTCAGATGGGGCATGGAGACTGTGGGCTGTAGCAAACCAGCCTGATGGAGTTTGCGCGCAGGTTTGTTTGGAGATTGTAGATAATAATAGATCATTATCCACTTGTCTTCAACCTTCTTCGCACTTTTACTGTCTAGAGGCTGAAGCCTACTGGTGCAATTGTATTGGAATACTGCAGGCTCGGACTGCACATTCATGAGAGCCCGGGGTTTGGAGAGGCTTTGTCGCATGGCACAATTGTCAAAGTTGTCACTCATCTGTTGTTGAGTTCCTTGGACAGACACAAACGTCCTCTCCATTTATCAGACTCAAAATTCTGCTGCACTTTATAAAGCAGAACCTTTGAGCCCTAAGCTTTCTTTGTGTCTAAGTATTCCAGGTGGTGTTTTAGGAGTGCAGGATTTCATTCACTAATCTACGCACATTCAGCACCGAGGCTGGAGCCACCCGGACCCGATGGTCACCGGCAAACTTTTGCAGACCGGCCAACGTTTGCAAAAAAATTGTCTGATTAATTTACATTCCAAGAGTTTCGCAGGTTCAAATTGCAAGCTTGGAACTTTTGAGTTGAGCACCGTCATGCCTTGTTTTGGAGTGTGTTTCATAATCAGTAAACTCTACATAACTACTCATTTGAAGCCTGCATCGTTTCACCCCTTGGCTGCGTTGATGTGGGCCAACCTGATAAGTCAACTTGCAGCCATGTGCCAAATAATACAATGTCTCCATGTTGGTGTTGAGCAAGGGCGAATGCCGCTGCGTGATTGGTGAAACCAAACACACGCAATCCAACGGAGATTTTCAACGATCGTAGAACACAAAACAATATACAATATTGAATCACTGTTATTGTTACAAGAATAAATAGAGAATACTTTTATAATGGGACCGAATCTCTGGCAGAACTGAACCGGGTCCGGAAATTTCAACCTAAAGTAAGAATTATATTGTTCAGTGGCTGGTATACTGTAGATCATGCTTTGCACAGCCGGTACCATTGCCGGTGGGCGAAGGGCAGCGTGCTATTAAACGATTCTAAGTCAATTGGCGTGCCAACCCTGGTTTCCGCCTTAATGGCGGCCTTGTGATAATGATTTTATCCAGGCATCCATGGGGCGTATGCCCAATGAATTGGGTTTGAGATCCTGTATGGCAATCCCTGCTGATAAAGTATCCTCAAGGCATCCCCCATTGGATTTGGGCTCCTTTTTTTT